ATAAGGTGTCTGCATATTAAGTAAGCATACAGATTGTTGTTCAACCTGTCGACCAGTATAATGACTGCTTAAGTGTCACCCCTGTGTAATCACTAGCGATTGTTTTGGGTGATCATTGCTCTCAACTACTAGTTACTGTCATGATTGTGTGGTTCTGAAACAGGTATCTGCAATAGAGTAAATGAGGTTTTTGACCCCCTAAAAGGGGAAAACCCCCAACAAATTCCTCAAAACAATGCTCGAATTTTAATATAAGTAATTCATTCCTTGTTTCTCTTCACTTCTGGAACTTATATTTACCACTGTCATAATACAGACAGCGAAGCTGGCTGGCTAGAAACCCTGTAAAATCTCTGCCTGTAGAGGTTTTTAAGATCCAGCTGGCCAAAGCCTGAAGCAATCTGGTCTGAATTTAGCACTGACACATATTTGGGCAGGAGACTGTACTACAGCCCTTTGAAGGACCCTTCCAACATCAACAATTTGGGGACTTCCTATGAAGTGGGGAACTAAGCAGAATGCTATCAGTTATGTTATGTTTGCATCATCCTACTCATCTGATGATTAAATCTCATCATGATTAAATCATCATCATCATCTGATGATTTGAGAACCTAAGTCAAGAATTTCCCACCAAAGTTAAAAATATCCAAGGGCTTAGGCTACGAAATCCTTAGTAGCCTAGAGCATGACTCTTATCTATGTCCCATTAATATTTACTATTTTGGAAATAGTAGTGTATGTCTTTCACAAATTGCAAAGATCTTTGCTTGAGCTCTAAATAGCTTTACAGCACAATGTCAAATGCTAATTCCAGAATGTGCATTAAAGTATGTCTAGATTGAATATGACTTAATAATAATTCTCAGAGAATGCTAGAATTCTTATTAACAGGATTATTTATCACATCTAGTCTTACTCCTAAAATGAGTATGTGAAGATCAGAAGAGGCCTTGTAGGGTTTAAAAATCTTGGACGAGGCTACTGCAAAATTGCTACAAAACATACCTTCTCGCTATATAGTCCTGTTTGTATAGGTACTTACAGACTATTCAAACCTTATAAAGTGTGAGAAAGGGATAAGACTTTGTTGCAATAGTAATGTTCACACAAACCTCAAAAATTCCATGGTTTATTTTTCCTTTCCCAAGTAGATAAGTATAAAAATTCCTCTTGCCAGCAAGGACTTGATAGACTGCTGAAGATTTCAAAACTCCAGCAGATTCCCGTACTGATACATCACTTTGTTCTTTCAACTTGAAACTCGTAGATGCAAATATTTAGCACTGAGGTATTTAAGGTTAGCTACAGTAGGCATTTCTTGTGAGGTGAACAGACTCTCCCAGACAGTGACAGTGTGAATTATTCACTGAGGGATTTGGTATTGTTTGTGATGCTATATGAAAATGCACCTCCATTAGCTTCATTCTTTTAAATATCTATATTTTTGCCATTTTAGTTAAAACTGAGGCTACAGTTTGTTGTAAATGTCTGTGTTTCATGTCTTTGATCTATAGCTGCATACATACAGATTTATGAGAGAGGTTTCTTTTTGAAACCAATTTTATTTTCAGTCGTGAGAGTGAAATTTCCCTCTCTAGGCACTTCAAATTGAAAAAAAAAGAAGCTTGTTTAAAAGAAAGACAGTGACAAAAGTCAGCAATTGATAACATTAAACTGGAGATAAGGAAAACTGTGAAAAGCCAGAATCTTAAGTCACGCATCAGTACATGCGGACCCAGTACGGTGTTCAGTCAAAATGAATACTGTTTGAGTGCTAGTGATTGAGTGTAAGGTATTTCAGGAATTAATGACAGACTGAAACTGCTAGCTTGCAGTCATCAGGAGAACTCATGTGGCTATTAATTGCCAGGAAAACCTGCAATGAAGTCTTCACTGCTACTAGAACTTGCAACTGATGGAGAAAATGATATAGATTCTTTTTGCATAACAAACATTCATTTGTTGTTTATCCATTTCTCAGTGTTTGTTCCTATCACCTAAAAGTGTTTCCAGAAATAGAAGAGAGGAAGGAAATTATCCAGATTTATCTACAAGGGCTTGTACAAAGTACTGCTTTTGCTGCTGCCTGAGAGAAACATGCCAGTTGCAGGCATCAGTAACTGAACTACCAAAACCAACATAAGCCCAAGAAGAACTCAGCAATGGCAATTGCCAAATAAAGGACAGCACATAAAAAAAAAGAAAAAAGCTTCATAAAAGTATTTGTATATCAACTTGCCTGGAACCCCAAAGGGAGCTTTTGTGGAGAAGTAGCATCACTTGACATACATTTAGGTATTCTGAAAATGGAGATTGACAGGAACACATACATATCCTGCTTGTCTTGCCATTTATGCTCTTTTTATACCAGTGCACTTACGCTAACTTAAATGAAATTACATCCTGATGAAATATGAAATTAAACTGTCTTTAATGTTACTTTGTCTAATATTAACTTCCAGAAACCCATTACCAGAGGTTTAGAATGAGCTGTTTCTTGAATGGCTGACTGCAGTGAACTGTAACACTTTGCCATGAAAATTATGTACGGAAAGCTCCAGAATACTGAGTACTCAGGACCAAGTACCAAGATCCTGAGGGTGCAGTACGTGACAGACCATTTCTGAGTAGCAGAATTGGCAACCAGTGTCCAATCCAGTTTCAGTGAGCACAGAAGCCAATAAGCGAAGTTACGAACTTGTACTCTTCACAAAGCAAATCAAAGAGAGGAGAAACCACATTTGATAGTTTAACAGACCTTGGAAAGCTCTTGCTTCCATACTGCAGCCTCATTCTGTGTTATCATGTGAATATCCTTTTATATGCCACTAACAAAGTAATCTCTCTAAATTCCTTTTCAATTTATGCTTAACCATCCTGATTTGCATGCACATAGAAAAGGAAATGAGAAACTTTTAAACCAAAATCTATATTCTTAGAACTTGATATTCAGGCTCATTTTTATGCATGGAATTCCCGTTAAGATTACTGGAAGATTTACCTACAAATCTTCCATCCTGGAAGAGTGATTAAATTCCCAAGGTTTTATGAGAAATAAGAAAACTGTATCTTGCTTTTCACTTGTCAGTTAATGCTAATGAGAAGCATGTGTAACTACACTCTTGTATGTTTAAATTGACCAAAAGGTCCGTAAGAAGCTGACTTGAAAGCTAGAGTTGGAGAAGAATCCATGAGTTATTCATGTCTCAGAGGAAATACTTTTTGGTTTGACTTATGCTTCAGCTGCTGAACAATTTTTACATTTTATCTTCCTGCAGGAAAACCACCTTTAATAAGAATGTGAATCCATGTGAATGTGTGTAAAGCAGATTAATTGCATGGGTATCAACTAAAATAAGTCTCATGTTTCCTAAAACCATTTAGATAACAAGACTTTGTCTTTTAAGGCTGCTCTTCAATATGAGGAGTTATACCTTCTGTTGGAACTACTGGTTAATCTGAATATGGAGTCAGTCACTTAAGTGTGATGTAGCAAAAAAATTCTATTCCTATTTAAATTAAAATACATTGCAAGCAACACACCCAACTGCATAACGTCCTAGAATATTGCTTCATTTTCTGTTTCTAGTGTAGCAGCACAGAATGATTTATTTCCAAGTTTCACCACCACTCTCTAACTTGTGGCAAACATTTGTTGCATCATTTTGCCAGATACATTATACCAGAGGATTTGAATTAATAGAGGCATCTTAGTGTGGTGGTGATGAAAAGCCCAAAGAAAGGTCTGATTATTTAGTCTGAGCTGCTATACAGTAATATACTGTGCACTGTACACTGTGCTGCTGTTTGAATCTATATGGTGAATCCAAGCAAGTGTAGAAGGAATGAAACTGGAAGAATACTGAGAAACAGCTATTGAGATTGCAGTACTGGAGCATGAATGGCTGTATTTTTTTATCTGGGAGACTTAGAAGAATCTTTGTTGTTCACTGCATGTTCTTTTCTTTATATTATTTCTAAGTTTTCAATCCTTGTCTTCCAGACAAATTCAGACAAATTCAATAACCTGTATTTTGTTTTAAATGATTTAAATTAGTTTATTTTGTGATAGTTATGACTCAGCACAGCAAATATTCTCTTAGACATAAATAATACTGGAGTAAAATCACAAGTTTGGAAATGAAAGTTATTTAATGTTTAGAATTTATAGGTAATTAAAAAGTTCTCATCAGGATTGATTGCTAAAGATGGTGTTCAAAAATAAATACGTGGTTCTGGCTTGAAGAGTCTAGGAAGTGAGTGTAGTGAATAACTTTATTCCTGGATAACAGGTATGCAGTGAAAGCAGATGCATGCCTCCTGTGCTGCTTCTGGTCCTGACATGAAAAGAATTACTGTAGGTTTCATAATTCTGTATTATTAAATCCTTAGCAATTTGGAAAGGAAAAAACTAACAAAAATAAAAATAAATCTAGAAGATAATATTACATTTAAATGCAAATTCTGCCCTTTCTATAGGTAACTCCAAAGAAAATACTGGCAAAGCAGGATTCTGATCTTATTGACTACTTGCGCATTGGCAATACACAACTCAGAAAGTGCCAGAAACCTACCACAGAAATCGTTAGAAAATGTGTGCATGCAGTACCAGTGTTTCAGAATAGTATTTTTGTTGATAAGGGATGAGGCATTTGCAGTATGTTCATTTTTATGCAGTCATCTTATTTTTTGACATATACTGATAATTTGGACTAATGCCTTGTGAAAGGGCATTTTCTTTGATGAATTTGTTAAATGCATTTGCTACTTTGACATCAAAGGGGTTGCTCTGATCTGTAAGTGCCAAGCACAAAAACCAAGTATAAGGCAGGCTGAGGGTACGTGTGTGAGTATGGTAAAGAGATCATGAATGAATGTGCCATACAGTTGCCATCTGACTGATAAACTACCTTTCTGCTATTATTTTTATAAATTGAAACTAGTTTTCATTAAATATCATGCTCCGTTATCACATACTTTTCATAGATTTTAAAGGCACAGAGATTCAAATGTTCTACTACTTTTGCATTATTTGTGCTATATTCAGCTTTGATGTATTTTTGAAATTCTTTGATAAAATATTTTACCTACAGTTGTTTTGACTGTTTTCCATTCAGACAAACTACAGGCTCTGCACAGATGAGAACTTTCTGACATATAAAAAGCTATGTAGTTCTTTCCAGTATTCAGATTCCTAGTGTAGCTTCTACTGTATGACTGTTCAGATGCAGCTGGATATTGCAGATGACAGTAACATCAAGGGGCACTTTTGTCTGTTGCTCCTATGTAACACGTTAGTATGTCTGGTTACATTAATTCTGAATTGCTCTGGCAACTGGACATCTGGGAATGTCAAGAATTGCAGGTACTTGTTGGCAGAGTAGAAGAGTTTGATCGTTATAAATATCTTCATTTTTACCTTTTCAATTAATGCCTAATGCCTCCTGCTTGCATTTTTCTTGACTTCCTCATTATCTGTAGTTTTGTTTCACCTAGAAATGAGGGATTGAGCCATTAAATTTACAGCAAAAAAGCACTCCAGATTAAAAAGGAAAGAAGAAAAGAGAAAATGTAATTGGTATAAAAGTTGTATAAATTAAGTTCCTTATTATTTTTCTTTAAATAATGAATTATTCAGTATTTTGGTGTTAATAATTTAACAGAACCCAAAGTAAGATATCAGCAGGACATATGTGGGGTGGGTGGTAGTTCAAGTTTGATCTAAAAGGCTTGCCTTTGTACTGAAGTTGGGTTGAAGCTTTGATCTATTTATAATGAGTATTCTAAGGGTTTACTAATTATTTTAAACCTGAAGAGAATCTCATAGTCCATTTTTCAGTTGGAAGGGAACCAAAAATAAACCTTGCTGGAAGGTAAAGGCACAAAGTCATAAAGTTCAGGCGTGTTTTTGAAGTTAAAGCCCAACCGTCGACTGTCTATAATTTCTGAGAAGTTTGGGGGAAAAGTGTATTTTCTGTTTCTTTTTTCATTCTGTAGCATAAGGAAGTTTTCTGAGGTACTTCTAACTTCTGACTAGAGCACCCTTTATATATACCATCCATTTTAAAAGTTTGTAGCCATAAATGTGAAATGCAGAAAAAATCCTTTGTTTGGAATTGCATTTAGACCAAATAAGTATCAATTTCATTTTCCAACCACATTGAATCTATTGCCAAACTAACTAAACATACTTGTTTATGAGAAATCGTGGGATGGCAATCTATTTATCAGGGGAAACTACATAAAGTGTTCATGATTCTACACAAATACAACTTTAAATAGGAATTTATCACTGCTTAGAACATTGGTCATGATTTGAGAGGTTTCTTTGGAATCCAGATACTTGTGCCTGATCCATATTTAATTCCTTCTTCAAAGGCAATATTCTTATTCCACTGTGCTACAGTTTTTTGTACAATGATTTTGTCATTCCTCGGTGGAAAAGCTTTCTTTGAGTTTTTCAGATACACAGAGCACAAATATCATATCCAAAGGTGCTCATTCTGGAACACCAGTGACAGTAATCAGGTGGACATAAGAGAGTCCTTTATATCTATGAGCACTGCAGCATGCAAGCTACACAGCTGTAACAGCTGGAAATTTTCATTGTTTGAGGGTTCCTATAAATATTCCTCAAAGCACTGGTAACAAGGCTAGGGAATTGATATGTTTGCATCACAGAAAGCAGAAATTCATATAAAACAGTTCTGTGGATTCTGGCTTTGCATAAGTCATTTTTAAATCCAGAAGATGTGGAAGGTATTTGTTTTATGCAGACATTACTTTAACTTACTTGATGGTGAGGATGAATACTTTCTCTGACTGTAAACACATACTCTAGTAACAAATACTGTGGCATTGCTCCCGAACATAAAATGGTATGCCTCATGATGCTATTAAGTGCTATTTATATAATGTGAGAAATACATTTTCCCCCATTTACTAGGAAATTTTCCAGTTTTCAAGGGGTACTGACTAGTTTAATGAATCTATAATACATACAAAATACTTTCTTCCTCCCTTGAATCAGTATTTGGGATTAAAGGTGAACCTCTTTTCATGGTTCAAATCATTTTCATTAGCAGAAAGAAAAAAAAATGCCCAATAAGCCTGGTACAGCAAAGAATTATTTAAAATCGTTCTGAGGAGCAATTTTTGCCTTTTCAATTATGCAAATGCTCATCAAGTTTTTGTCTTTGGTAATCTTTGGCTGATATTAAAAAACTGACACAGACTTCTTGACCTGACGCAAATGTAATAGCTGTGAAGGTTTTTTGTACCTTTATCCTGGCACAAGATTAAAGAAATGAAAGTACTGCATTCCACAAATCAAGCTCACACTTACACCTGTATCTTATCCTTGAGATTAAATTTTTATAGACTCATAGAATAATTCACATAGGAAGGAACCTTGGGAGTTTCTAGTCCAACCTCCTGCTCAGAGCAATGTCAGCACTGAATTCAGCTCTGGTTGCTTTAGGCTTTGTCCAGTCAGATCTTAACCTGCACAGACAGATTCCACAGATGTTTTTTTGCCATAATATCCAGGCAGAACCTTCCCCATTTCAGTTTATGAGCCTGTCTCTTGTTCTCTCACTGTGCACCTCACTAAAGAGCCTGGCTTTGTCCTCCTGGGATTTTTCTCATGCTGGAAGCTCCTTTCTTCCTTGAACTTTGTATCTTTAGGCAAATACCTTTTCCCTAAATACAGAAAGGCAAAGTTTCTAGTGTCTGTCTTCACTTTCATGTCCTGTCTGTGTCTTTTTGTACTGGAGCTCAGCCAGGAGCTTCCTGTGAAACTATGCAGGTCTGCTGGTATGTCTGCTAGTTTACCTGGGTTATTGGAATAGAGTGATGTGCTTGCAGAGGGTTTGCTAGCTTTCTTGAGCTCCTTTTCCTTTCAGAGCTGCCTCACACAGGATCTCACCCACCCAAAAGAAATCCCTGTCTAAGCTGAAGTCTATCCTCTGGAAGTCCAGGGTCTGTACTCTGCTACTTGTGTTCCTTTGTCTCAGGATCTCGACTGACTATCCCTAGTCTGACCAGCATATCCAGTAGTGTGTTTGGTACTCCTATATGACAGTTGTTGTTTGGTTCTGTTGGCTTGGGAGCCAGAAGGATACTTTTCTTAAACTATTTCTTTAAGGGCTAATCTCAGAACTTCATTATCCATCCAGCTGTTCAAACAGCACCCTATATGTCTAATGAATTTAGTTGTAAGAAGATCCCTTCCACATTGTAGGAACACCTGGAAATGGACTTTCCGCAATGACTTTGTTTAATCACCATTTTAAAGTAGTTCTTAAAATGTTATATTTAAAAAAAAAAACTTAACAAAAAGAGTGAGGTTTTCAAAGAAATCAAGAATCATAGCTGATTAACCATATTTATCATTCTATTTTTATCTATAACTAGACTTCTAGACAGCTCTAACTCATCAAATAGGATATAGGAATCTCTTAATTAACACACTTGTATAACTAGACACATTTTACTACATTCAGTGAGGTGTAGCTATTTCATGGTAATTAATTAGAGATTGATCATTTAGGAATTTGTCACTGGGACCAAGATGCAATAGCTAATGAGACTGCTTGTTACAAATTCAAATGAAACCAGATCTAAGTCGAAAGTAGACAGCAAAAGATATCAGACTTAGACCTAACCGATCACTTAATTAGCTGTGCCAAGTAAAAAGCTGATAATGAAAAAGATCTTTAAGTGTTCACTCACGGTATTTCACTTCCAAGGTACTGTATTTTAAAGCCATTTAACACATGAGTGTTATATGAGCCCATGACTACACATTACAGCAAATGCTGTCATCAAATTTGGCATTTGGGGACAAAATTTATAATGCATAATATTAGAGATACTTAATGCCTCTTAGACCACAGAATTTTTGCTATGCAAATATTTTGGACTGTATATTTTGGTACAAGATCAGAAATACTGTAACAATGAAACTCTCACAATGTCAAAATTAGCATTGACTCCAATTGAGCGAGGGCAATGGAAGTCCTGTCCAAGTTAATGGAATGTCAATACAAATCAAAATAATATAGTACGTGGCTGTACTACTCTTTAAAATTAATTATATTTCAACGCCATTGGCTTTATTTGGATTACATTGAGGTAGGCTCTGTTTTGTTTATTTAAAATATTTTTGTATAAAAACCGGGAAGAAGATTGGAAGAAGGGGGCTTCCATCTTTTACTAAGGGAAAAAATGTTTTTCTTTCATTCATTTTTTTCAGTCCTTTGTTTTACTGAAGTCAGTGGAAGAGAAGAGCTTTAAAGCTCATAAAATCCTGTCTGAATGACATGCAACCAGAAACTATATATGCTAAACCACAGTGCCGAGGAATCACAGTTAATTGTGTAAAAAACACACTGAATTCTAATTTCTTGTGACTAATCCTAGAACTGATGAGTCCAGACACACTATAGGAATCTACTTGCTAAATAATATATAGTGAAACTGAGTTTTTTCTTCTCTGCTCTTTATTTTTCCCAACATCACTGACACGTAGAAATGGACATATGGCTTGCAGCTTGTACTTATTTTCCTTCAGCTTGTGTTAATTTGAGTCTGAACAACAAATAAATACATAGTATATAGAAGATACCAGTAGCTAGGACATATGCAAAAGCCTTAATTCAATCGCATTTAGCTGTTCTAACTGTTTTAATTTGATCTTTTAAGCCACATCTGTATCTTATCATGCGGTGTATTCCAGTACAAGAGCAATTTTACATAGTAATAGATTAAAAATATTTCTCTGTTTATAAAATCTTTAAACCCTTTTAAAATTAGGAAATTCAGAAACAAATGAGTTTATTTCTCATTATTTGACATAATAAAAATACTTATGTCTGACAACAAAATGGGGTGGGGGGGAAGAAGAGTAGGAGGAGGAAGAGGAGAGGTGGGGAAAAGAGACACATGTACCAGCAATGACTGCAAGTGTAAGCAAACATATACAAATAACTTTCCAAAGCCCAGCTGCTTTCTCTCAGTATTTACCATGGTTAAGCTCCCTGAAGGCTGCCATAATTAGTTTTCTCCCTTACAAGTAATTATAAGCACCTGCAATTAAAAAAAATATTTGTGTCTGAGATCTGATCCCTCAGGTATTTTCTTTTAGAACCTTCCTCATTTGCTCTTAGAAGTTCTTTTCCACTAACTTTTACTCTAGGGATGCTTTAAAGGGAATGAAACGTTCCTCTTTCTTTTAAAACCTGGTGAGATCTAAAACAATGCTGACAATGTTTTTCCTCCCCACGATCATTTTGGAGTGAATGTCATAGGCTCAGGAATAGGTGATTACTACCAGAGAAGACAGGGAGGTGAGATCTACATAGGGTATGCTCAGACCAAGGGCAGCCTTGAAAGGGTTTCACATGGCTCACATTCAAGCCCTCTGAAAATTTCACAGCAGATGTCAACAATGTAAGGGTCCCTATTAATTGCTTTCCCTAGTTCATTCCAT